TCTAATAGACATGAATCCTGTGACGGCACTCATTGTCGAGACTTGAATCTTGTTCCTACACAAACATTTCCTTAACCTTTTCCGTATTACTCAACACAATATACTCAACAAGGTTTTTGGGATAATGGCTTAATGAAGAGAATTGCTAGCACAGAAGGAAGAGAATAGTAAATCATTACAAGAACATAAAGAAGATGGAGATTCAAGGCTCGGGATTAAAGATAAAAAAAATTAAAAAATGATTTCACGTCTTTCTTATATATTTATATACATTTTGGGTGATGTCTTTTCATTATTTTTCTTGTATTGTCATTCAAAAAATATTAGGCTAGATCATTCTCGCGTTAGAAGAAAATGAACCTTATTATTTGATTGTTTTCAATTTAAAGATCAAGTAGTTGTTTATTTGTGTCTTCATTGATCTTGTATGCCTTGTTGAATTATTAAAATGTTTGCGCATCATTTTAGGCAATTAGTTGCTTATTATATTTTCGAGAGATTCATGATAGGTTTAGAACTTTGCAATTTCAACATACGGACAGTAAATGTTAGGAATAACATGTATATCGTGTGCAATTATATAGATAATCGTGAGACTTAGAGTCTTTTTGATTCTCATTAATAATTGGGAAAAAAATGAGTTTTGAATAGAATTTTTAGGAGAATGTGTAATTGAAAAGTAGAGAAATTTTTTTGATGTATGTGTAGAATATTTTATCGTGTGAATGTGTAGTTGAAAATGATTCCGTAACAAACTATAAAATATATTAATATGTTTCAAACGTGCACTTAATGCATTATTTTGCATATGAATTCAGAATAAAAATATAATGGGATCGTGTTTATAACATGTCTTACTTGCTTCGGGATTATAGTTAAATAAAAATGGATTATCAATCTTGTCAAGCCCACACAATTCACATTATGCCCCGGTTTGATCTACATTATTATCTAATTAAAATAAAAAATATGGTCGTTATTTATCACATCAACATTTAAATTCAAATATTCTATCTCTTGTGTGGACCCCAACAACGACTATATTTTTTATTTTTATTTTATATTATATAGGTCGAGAATTTAAAAATATAATAATAGTAGGTGAATTCGGAATTTCAACACGCACATCTCGTACTTAATTGAAACTTTAGATATAGTACGATAATTTAGCTGATGTTTGACATCTTTTACTTTAATTTAATTTAATTCTCGTACTCATTTTCAACCACACATTCACACAATAAAATATTTTTACACGTAAATTTATTAAAAAATTCATACATTTTAACTACACATTATTTATAAAAAACACTATTCAAAACAATGTTTTCTGAATTTTAAGAACGTCAAACAGGGATTTAGATGCAAACAAATAAATCTCTTTGGTGTTACGTTTACATTTGAGTTTGATAACAGGTTCATATTATTTAATCTAAGATTTATTTCTTGTGAAACGAGACTTCTACTCACTACATCTTTACTTATTAATAATCCAGTATGCTTACGGGATTTCTCCAAATGATTTTGAATTTTTATCATTGAAAGTGATGTTCCAAATCATCGACTTATTTAAACATTTGAATCAAGGTACTCGCACAGGGGCGAACCCAGCACCTGGCGAGCCCCCGCGGCCGCCCGTGCTAAATTCGCTGAAAGCCTGAAACCTTCAAACCGCGGGGCGTCGCCGGGTGACTGTGTTGTAGAGGACGGTGAGAAGACAGGAAGAAGAACTGATGAAGAAGGGAAGGGAGGTAAGTTTTGGGCCTTTTTTTGTTGGGTAATTAAAAAAAAATTTAGGCCTTTTTTTTAGTTTTGACCCTTTTGTTTTGGGCGGAGAGAATTGAGCCTATTTCAAAATTAGGCCCAAATCCCATATAAATGAAATAATATCCAATTGGCAATTATTCATTACGGCAATACTCCAAAACCCCTTCCCTTCCCTTCACTCTTCACTTTTCCTTCTCCCTTACCCGATTGCTATGCTTCTGCTGCTGCTTGCTGTCGGTGAGTGTAACTGGTACCTTGTCGGCTTTCGGTAATTCCGTTCCGTTTCCATTTTTGACATTCTGTTTCAATTTTTTTTTATTTTTTTTGTGAATATATATAAGAATTTGAAGAAAACAACAAGAATTAAGAAGATTAGCATTTCAATTTTCAGTTTTTCACCCATTTCAATTTTTAAGTTTTTGTGATTTGTCAAGCTTCAATTTTCGGATTTCCACTCCATCCATGAATATTTGGCCAGAGTCGGGATTGTAGTCTGTACTCTCTATAGAATCTTTGTATCAAAATTCAAATTGATATGTGATAACTGTGTTTGAAAATTGATTAAAAAATTATTCAACTTTGACTTAATCTTTGATATTTATTTTTCCTGCAGATTTTTGCTCCTTAATTCACTGTCTTTTGATTAGTAAATAAGTCTAAAAGTAGTGGCAATAATATCTAATATTAGTTGAGATTTTTTAGCTTTTCAATTTGCTTGTAAGCCTATAAATGGGCACCTTCAATTCTGAAATAAAGCGTACAACATATAACTTGCATAGTCTACATTTGTGAGTGTTAATTTCTCTCTGCAGCTTCCTTTTTCAATACTCTACTACTCCAAATTCCCAACACTGTGGACTTCTCACTTCCAGTCTTCCACTCTCTCCAACTAGAGGTCTAGAGCCAATAGCCATTGTTGATGTCCGCCCTGGCTGAACTTCTAGGCTGGGTCCGCCCCTGTACTCGCATGATGGGAACTATCAATGTAGACGTCAAGATCTAAATGTCTTTCACTTAACTTAAACATGGAGGCAAAATTATCAAATCACTTGACATCTAACATTAAATTACGTGAAAGACGTGCAATCTTAGTGTTCACATTAATATTTTCTGTTACTAGGAAAACAATAATTCAAAAAATTTAATAGGCTGTGTCCAAAACCTCCCTTTTTGAAATGTTGGGATCTAAACCAGACTTATAGAAAGGTTAGGGGTCCAGCTTTATTTCTTTAAATAAAGTAAAAATAAAAATACATGTAAGTGTCGCAGACTAAGAGCAAAAAATCCGTGAAACCAACATGATCTATTCTGACCAAGGTCGGTTTAGACCCCATCTTGTTCAATTTTTGAGTTGATCATGGACCCAACTCGAAAAATCGATTTGGTGTCAACCCGATCCTTTTAAAAAAGCATTCATTTAAGGGAAAAATTCAAAAATCAGGTATTAACTTTGACACAATTCAATTTTCAGGTGTCAAGTTTCAAAATGCAAAACTCAGGTACTTATTTATTAATTAAAAATATTTTTATTAATTAATTATAAAATATTTAATTTTAATATAATATAATTAACTCACCCCACCAACACCACCCCTGTCGTTCCGGCCACCACTCTTCTCCGGCGATCGTTCCGCACAATTGCTCCGATTTCGGCAATTTATAAAATATGGTCACTGATTCACAATTTAGATAATCACATATTATTTTACGGTCACAATTCAAAAATTTTGTAAGTCACAATTAATTCGTTGATCACAGATCAAAATTTATAGGTCACACAGTCACAGATTTCCAAATTAGTTGATCACAATTTTTTTCAAAGTCACAGATTGTATAATATTTAGGTCACGGATAATAAAATAATTGGTCACGGATTATCCTTTTAGTCACAGATTAACCGAATTTTAAGGTCACAGATTATATTTTTAGTCACAAAACCAAAATCGCCAGATTCTCCACCGCACCACCGTCGACTGCCACCACCGCACACCGACATGCCACCACTGCCGCAAAGCAAATCTGACCAGCAACGACCATGGTATATCACTACCACACAACCAACAAATCCACCATCGCCACGATACCGCACACAACACCGCCATCGAAAAACACCACTGCACCTCCACCTCCACTGCACCATACCTCCACCGCGCACAACAACTCACACCACCACCTTCACCGCACACCACTCACAGCGCCACCAACCAGTTCTCAACCCACAAACCCACCACACCACATCTGCACCACAACACAACTAGCATCAACACCACCACCACACCCCGACGCAAAAACCACCATCACAACAAAAATTAAAAAAAGAAGATAAAAGGAAATTGCAAGGACTAATTTATGTTCAAAACAAAATAGATGAACTCTCAACAGTAAAGCCTTCGACTGCTAACGACGCTGCTAAGAACTCTCAACAGCCCTCAATCGTTGCACAGTGAAGAGCGGAGACGATCAGGCACAAAGAGGCCGTCGGTAAAGAGCGGAGGCGATCTCCACCAGTGAAGCCCTCTTGTCGGCGGCAATCTCCGAGTGTTATTTGTCAAGCCCAGTGAAGCCCTCTCCTCGGCGGTGATCTCCACATGTGAAGCCTCTCCTTGGCGGCGATCTGCGACCGACAATGAACCGCCGGTTGTTATTTGTGATAGAGAGAAGGGAGAGAATAGAGAGAGTGGAGAAGAGAGAGAGAGAGAAAATAAGGTCAAATGATTAGGGTTTGGAATAACTGGGTGGAGATATTTAATATTTAATTATTATATTGATACCTGATTTATGAAAATGAATTTTTAGACCTGATTTTTGAATTTTGATCTTTAAACACCTAGTGTTATGTAATTTCCTTTTCCTTTAATTGCAAAATGTCGGCTACAACCTATTTCTCTCCCTAAGCCCGACCCACCTCACTCCGATCTCTCCACACGATCTCCATCCCATTTGACACCAAATAATCCATCCCACAAACCCGATGTAGTTAACCATCCAAACCTCATGCGATCGCCGAGATTGCAACTCATCTCACCCCATTTCTCTCCTCACAATCTCCACTCCAAATTGACACCACCACAATCCAACATCCAAAATGGACAATAGTTCACCACCCTAACCCCACGCCAGTCGTTATTCGCTACAAACCACCACCAATACCGCGCATCCGGCACTCCAGATCTACTCATTTATTATTATTATTATTATTATTATTATTATTTATTGAGTTTTACTTCTTCGAAATGGATGTTATGAGTCGTGGTTGTGGTGCTCGATGGTATGAGATTGTTAGTGGTAATGGTTGTATTTGTGGTGGTTTGGAGTGGATGGTGGTGGGTGTCGAAAAATTGTTACAAATCGAACCGACTCAAACAAAAACATATTCGATTTGTAGTATGAATACGTTCTCTTTTTAGGTTGAACAAAACTTAGCTCGATGGTTGAGTTGGATCTCCACTCGATCCAATCCGACACCCGCACCCCACCGTGAACATTGATGGAGCCAAGTCCGCAATTAATTTTTGGAGACGACTACGTTTCGCCCTTCCAAGACCAAGAAAACCATAATTGTATTTGTTTTTTTTCCTTTTGGGTGAAATTTTATTGGAGGTCCTCAATTTATTTCGTAATAGCACGTTAATCATTAATCTTTCAAAATGAGCAAGTTGGTTCCTAATATTAATCACTAGTCAATTTCCAACAAACCTACATAATTTACAAAACTTACTTCAATAAATTAAATATGCGATGACCACGTGATGATTTAACACAGATTTAGACAATTTCCAAATTTCATTATAGGAGAGTTGGACTGAGCGTGTAACAATAATGGAAAGTCAGATTAACTTGCAATACTTTAAAGTTAAGGACCAGATTGCACCAAAATAATAGATTGGATGCCATTAGGCCCATTACTGCAAGTTCTCGTACTTTTATTTTACAAACAAGCTGCCAACATTAAATTATTAGGCCCCGTTTAATTTTGCTTTCCTTTATCTGAAAGATGAAAATTAAATTTCATTTCCACCTTTTTTGCATGTTTGATTGATCAAATTTTCCATGAAATTAATTTTCTTCATTTTTGAGGAAAATTTTTTGTTGATTTTTCATATTTTCTTGATTTTTGAGAAAAAAGTTTTTTCCCTAACTTTGGTATGAAAAGTATTTCTAAGCAACATTTTTTTAAAGATAATGGAAACAAATTTATCCAATATTTTTTATTGAAAACTTATATCAATCAAACAAACTGACAATTCTCGTATAAGCAACATTTTTTTAAAGATAATGGAAACAAATTTATCCAATATTTTTTATTGAAAACTTATATCAATCAAACAAACTGACAATTCTCGTATAAACTAGCTGATTCAATCCCTGCAATCCATTTTCTTTCTACCCAATTCCATTCTTTCAACCAAACGAAACGGACCCTCGCTGATTTGCTGTGGTGAAGACGACGATTACGTCGGACAAAACTTTCCGGTAATCGACAGCGCCGCCTGTCACTCCCATTTCAAATCCTTCTTAATTATTGTAAATTCACCAATTATTCGTCCCATCATTAACTACGATTTCGCAATTTAGATCGCCGCTTCCGATTCCAATCAAAAGGTAAACGTATTCCGCCTTTTTAATCTTCATCACCATCGCAATTTTTCAATTTATGTATTAAATTCGATAACTGATTTGACGAAGTTTGCTCTTTTTTTAAGCCCTAGTCTAATTGCAGCGGTTGAACACCTGATCACTTGTAATTCCGCCAGTTTCTTGTGATGCTAAGCTTTGTGAATTTATGAATTAATGATTGGGCCGTGCGATTCTGTTAGAATTTCATTTACGGCGTTTCCCTTTTTGATTGGTGGAAAGTTGTTATTTTCATGCTGCTTATTTATGGCTTATATTAATTAATCGGGGAAGCTTCGTGTAGAGAGAGGGTGGGCATTGATTTCATCTCGAGATGTGAAATTGTTGATTTTCATTTTCATTTCATTTTTTTTATTTATTTTTTCAACTTTGATAGTCTCCTTTCACAGTTTTTTACCGGAATTTAAGACTTATTCCTGTATAGCTCATAGCATGAATTAGTTCCTACCTAATTCGCGATAGATTATCGATTGAATATTTTTCTTTTAGTTTCCCTTCTTGATTGGGGCCATATTAATTACTTAGTAAAGGTGCTGAGTAGTAAAAAACTATGTTGTCTTAATTACAGACAATGGCAGCTTCCGGGGATTCATGGGTAAGGGAGTACAATGAAGCAGTAAAACTTGCTGACGACATCACTAACATGATATCAGAAAGGAGTTCGTTGCCCACAACTGGGCCAGAAGCACAGAGACACTCATCTGCCATTCGGAGGAAAGTTACCATACTTGGAACGAGGTTGGATGGCCTACAGTCTCTTCTGTCAAAGCTTCCTGGAAAGCAACCTCTGTAAGTTCTCTTAATTGAACAGCCTTCTAGCTACTTTGTTATCGTGGAATAATCTAAGATGTCTGTAGTAAGTAGCTGAGTCACCCAGGTATAATTTGTGGATTTCATTGTATTTTGCTTTTCTAAACTCGCATGCTCACTTAAATTTAGAGATAAAATACAGTGTATATATATATCCCCTCTTCAATTTTGTTTGAGACACTCTAGTTCTAAATTTCCTGGTATGCCTATTAGAAACAAGTTAGCATTCCCGAAATTATGATTGCTTCCTAAAAAAGAAAATAACGAAGTACACTACTATGCTCTCATTCTTTCATTTTATATCTAGCTTTCGAGTAAAAGTATGTGATGTAGTGATTTTTATCTGCAAGTTAAATATGTATGTTATTGTTGGGGGGGCGGAACTTAAAAAGAAGAAGAAAGAAACTGCAGCATGCCAGCATCCAACGCCCTCAATTAATTGATAGAAAACGGGATGGAACTAACACTTGGTTCTATATTTTCATTAGATTTTTCATCGTTTTCTCTGGTGGTGGCCTTTTTATGGTTCTTGAACCTGCTCATACTTAAATGCAGGACTGAGAAAGAAATGAATCGGCGCAAAGATATGGTTGCCAATTTAAGGTCAAAAGTAAACCAGATGGCTTCCACATTGAACATGTCAAACTTTGCAATTAGGGACAGCTTACTCGGGCCAGAAATTAAGCCGGCTGATGCAATGAGCAGAACAACTGGGCTTGACAACTATGGTGTTGTTGGTCTTCAACGACAAATCATGAAAGGCTAGCGGCTATAATTTTTTTTTTCCTTAATCTTTGTTTTTTCTTTATCTTTCTTAATATAGGATGGCTTTCTGGTTTGCATCTTTGTGCAGAACAAGACGAGGGTCTTGAGAAATTGGAGGAGACGGTTATAAGCACTAAACATATAGCTTTGGCAGTCAACGAGGAGCTTGACCTGCATACAAGACTAATTGTGAGTGTTCTTGTATTATAACATGCCTGCTTTTGTTCTCGACTTCTCCCGTGAAAACTAGTCTTCCATAATTCGCATAACTCGATGAACTGTTATCTTGAAGTTCATTTCTGTTTGATGTCATCTTGTTCAGGATAATCTGGACCAACATGTTGATGTCACAGACTCCCGACTGCAGGTGACATTTCTGTCTAGTCAAATTTATTTGAATTGCAATAAAACCTCCTCGAGCTAGTGAATAGTTTTCTGGCATCACCTTTCATAGCATGTGGTCATCGAAGGTGGATGTTTTCGAGCATTTTGATCCTCTTAGTAGTAACGCTAATGGATAGACCCGTAATCATGACTGGGGTATGCTAAACTTTTTATATTCTGCGTAACATATTAAACAAAGCTAAGCCAGAAAAAATGTTAACAATTATGCTTGGATATTTAAGTAAAAAAAAATGAAGTTATTTATTTTGAAATAACTCTTACGTTATCAATAAAAAAATATTTATTTATAAACTTACTTGTTTACTTAGAAGTTAACTTTTTAAGCTTAGCCAAACATAGCTCTCTGTCAAACAAGAGTTATGTCTGGGTGTGGGGTGAGCCGGTTTCAAGGAGATTTCTGTGATTTAGGTTCATTGTCATGCCCATGCTTTATGTATTGCTTATTTTGCCTTTTTCTTGACGTATTATTAATGGAAATTGTGTTAGCTCAGGGAATTTGAGCGACTTAACAAGTATTTTTTACTAATTTGCTCTTGATTTGAACAACTTTATTATGTACCTATTCCACTCACTTTATTTTGACGGTTTTTTTTCCCTAATGAAAACAGCGAGTGCAGAAGAGGCTTGCAATATTGAATAAGCGCACAAAAGGTGGATGTTCGTGCTTGTGCCTGCTTTTATCTGTAATTGGGATTGTTGTTTTGGTTGCTGCTATATATATGCTGATCAAATATTTGTAATATAGAGAAAAATGGAATTGAAACTTTCTGCTGTCTTAGTGTGTCCTGGATTAAAATTTAACACTGACGTCAGGAAAAAAAAAGAAGAAAGAGAGAGAGAGAGAGAGGAATGGCTCTGTGTGATTTGTCAAAAACGCTTGGATTTTCATTACCTCTTTGTTTGGTTTCCTTGTTTGTGAGATTGATATGATTTGTTCGGATGAATTTTCGTTTGAGCTTTATAAGATGTCATCAAGTTAATCAACCTATTCGTTAGGTTAATATGGTTCTGATGTATACATCATTTTAGCCACACACAGGTATCCAAAATCTTGAGCTTGTTTGGCAAGGTTTTACTTCTGCTTTTTGAAAAAATTAACTTAGGCCAACTTCCTTTAGAGTTCTTAAGCACTTACAGAAAATTATTCAAACATGCTTAAAATCAATTTTTTTTTAGTTTTAGAAGCAGTTTCTGACTTTCCAAAAACACGGACAAATGACTATTAGTATTCCTTATCCTATTTTTTTTTTTTTTTAAAAAAACAAATTGGCCTTTTAAGGAAAAAAACCTTTAATGTGATAATGATGTATATTTCATTTTAGCAACAGGTTTCCAAAAAAATTATTTTACTTGCTATGATAATGCGATCTGTTGCGGGCACGCTCACACTATGGTTCTACAATTCCAGCCCACCACAACACCTTGTTGTGCACACCACCTCATGTTATTGACCCTGGACAGGAGCATTATTCATAGTTCTATTCATCCCATTTTTGGTTAAAGAATAATCAGGGATATTACTAGAAACTGAAAGGCACAGGATCTGATACGGATGATATTACAAAAAATCAATCGAGGATAATGAAATGCAGCTGCACCCCTTACTGATAGATAAAAAAGAAATAAAATGGAATAACAAGAAGTGAAATAGAGAAAGCCTAAAAAAAGAGCTTTCGAGGAGATAGTCGAGAGGCACTGGAACTTGGTGCTGATGACTTGAAGGAGACGGGATATTTTGTGCTTTCTTGGCTCCTCCAGCTTTATCAACTAGCTTTGCTCCTCTTGGGTCAGAAAGGAAAGTCTTTTGAAATGATTGTGTAAAACCAGTCGCAATGATGGTCACATGTATCTCTCGTCTACAACAGTACCAAATATGATGTTTGCAGAAGAATATGCCAAACTGGTAACAACCTGTAATCCATATAAACAATTTAACGTACGAAACACCATATCCCAAAACTCACAATCACAAAATCGAGGGTTTGTAAGCATTCAATTTTTTAAGCCCTTTTTTTAGCGTTTATATTTGGCTAAAAATACATTTTTAAATAGTAAATTGATGAATAGTGTGTAGTTGAAAATAATAATTTTTTTAAAAATTTGTGTGTAATATTATTTTATTGAAAAATATGTGATTGAAAAGAAAAGAAAAAAATATATTTTGAAAATAATGGGATCGAACAAGTGCTAAAAATTAAACGAGTTTTACATATTTGTTGTACATTAAGTCCCAGTTTGACAATCGTTATTTAGGAAAAATAGAATTTTGAACAGTGATTTTTAGAAGAATGTGTGGTTGAAGAGTAGGAAAAAATTTTGAATTTATGTGTAAAATATTTTATTATGTGAATGTGTAGTTGAAATTAAGTATATAGAAAAAATTGAAGATAATGGTTATCAAAAAAGAGTTTGTTTGACACTTCAAGTGTTATCCAAATTTGTTTCATTGATTGTTTAAAATATTGTGAAAATCATTATGTGAGAAAATGCCACCTCACAAGAATGTCAAACTTAGTCCTTATTTGATTTTCGTTATTTTCAAAATACATTTTTATATCGCTTCTTTTCTATCAATCATTTTTCAATAAAATAATATTACACGTATATTCAAAAAAAACTCTTATTTTTTAATTACACATTTTTCATCAATCTACTATTTCAAAATGCATTTTTACAATAAAATAGGGCTCAAATAGGCTCTTAATGTAAAATTTAATGTACATGTAGCTTGATTGTGCGAAGACATTTAGTTCGAAAATGTGACAAAAGGTGTGTAAATGAAAATTTAGAGATTAAACTACTGTTTGGTGGTCTTTTTTTTTTTTGAAAAATTATTATTTTAAATAATTATTTTTTTGGAAAATATATAATTAAAAACTAGGAGAAAATTTTGGATTTATGTGTAGAATATTTTATTATGTGTATTTGAAAATGAGTATGTAGAAAAAAATATTTTTTAAAAATGGAAGACAAATAGCGGCTAAACTCGTGATTAGCCTTCATTTTCTTAAATTTATTTTTTTATGAAGTTCAGTGCAGGTAGATGTATGCACTAGACCTGCACAAGGTCCGCCCTACATAGAGAAATCAATTTTTTATGGAAAAAAATCATAACCTAGCTAGACATTAACCATATTGTATTTTAGTTTGAAGATAAGTTCGTAATTTCAAAACTCGAAGAAACCTATATATGGAGAGAGAGGATTCCGTTACAATTCAATCCCTAAAATCAAGCATCCAGTTTTCATTCGTGATTGGACTCCCTAAAATACATATTTACATATCTAAACCACACAATTATTCACGCAACACAAGATAAAATCCTTAGAAATGTATCCAATTATAAGCTATCATTGTCGATATCTTACAAATTGATAACAATTGGAGGTTTTAGGTCAAAAATTGAAGAATATCGCCACAGATCGATATTTATTGACAGTTGAGGATAAAATTGTGGATTTATTGAATTGAATTACTATCCAATTGATTCGATTTGTATCTGAACGCTGTCGTAGTCACAATTGGTACATGATTTAACGTTCAATTCGACAGTTTACACTTTTTGAATATCCCAGTTGGTGTTGAATCTTCGGTACTCGCTGTGACTGGTATTGAATCATCATCAAAATCAAATTGGTATGTCATACTTTGTGTTTGAAATTTATGTTTGTAACTTGGATTACATGTGAATTGTATTTGTAATTGTGATGTTCGAGGAGTTCGTGTAATCGATCATTTGCACACGGTGTTGAATTTTTGGAAAAGCGTAATTTTGTGCATGTGACCTGTATTCAATATACGTGATCATGTATTTGTAATGTGACTTACATCTAAACCATTTGATTGAAGGTATTGTATAAAATGAAGTCTTATTCATGTGACTTTTAATACGAAACCGTGTCCTATATATTTCATGTTGTGACCCTTTTATAAATGTAGTGTTACATGCATTACTTCATGATGTGGCCTGTATTGCGAATATATGACTTGCATTATTCCTGATTTACACTCAAACTAGGGATGGCAACGGGACGTGGCGGGGGGCGCTCCTCGCCTCGCTAAAAAATTTCCCGCCCCATTACCCGTTTAAGGCAAGGAGATGAGGGGTCCTTACCCCGTTTACTACCCATTTAATTTATTTTTTTTAGTTTTTGATAATTTATTTTTATTGCACATACTCACTAGATTTAGGCAAATAATTTTAGTTGCTATTTTCTATTAGAATTAATGAAATTTTGTAAAATTTTTCATTTAAAGTACTGAATTCTAAAAAAAAAAAAAAAATTAACGAGGCGGGCCCCCGTTACTCGTCCCGTACCCGCCCCGGTGCAAAATTCCCCGCTCCGTTACCCGATTAAGCGGGTGGGTATCGGGTTTGTCGGGGTTTTCTGCCATTCCTAATTCAAACTAACTTTTTTTTTTTTTTTTGTGAAATTGGCAGAAATGGGCCACAACCGTGGGATGTGCAACAGTTTGGTTCCGTTAAGTAAAAACAAATCATAGTTATAACGCAAATAATACGATGTCAACCGATGATACACATTGGCCGTTAAACATTTTTTTTTTTGATGTTTTCTTTATTGTTTCAATTATTGGTTGTAAATAGTGTTTGGTATATCATGTAACTATATGTATTGTTTATTTAAATAATATTCGTTCAAAATGTGACTTGAGATGTTTATCCGTAAGTTGTGCAAATTAGTGAATGAATTGAAACCAGTTAACTGTTTTCTTTTTAACAAGACATGTGAACTATGGAATTGTATATGTGACTTGTGAATATAAAGATGTGCATGAATCTGTATTTTTTTCACCTCTATAGTTTTTTTTATGACATATTCACAATATTCTGTTGTTCGTGACTTCAACTTTGACTTGGAAATAATATGCAACACGTACACATTAATTAATACTTGATGTGTGACATGAGAATAATGAGCTGTGACTATAAATTAATGATATGTGACTTCTCAAAAAATGGGTCTGTGACATCAAATTACAATTTTGTGACTTATACACAATGTATGTGATTTCAACAGATGACCTATGACTTGATAATTGTGATTGTGAGTACAAGAATATAAGTTGTGACCTGGAAACAATACGTGATATGTGACTTGATAAAATGGCATGTGACTAGCAGAAAATAAGCAGATATTAGAACAAAATGAGATGTAAATTGACAATAACAATATGCAATTTCATATTAAGTATATGTGACATGAAAACACTGTCACGTGACTTCGAAAGATGACACGTGACTTGGATGAAATAAGTAGTGACCTCTTACAGTATAATAAGTACTCTATTTTTTTCTTCACATGGACTCGAGAATAAGAAACTCAGTGACTTGTAAACAATACTTGATATGTGACTTGAAAATAAATATCTATGACCTCAAAAGAAGGATCTGTATACGAATTCTAAATAACTGATGAAATGCAATAGGCTTAACCTATGAAAATCAGATTTAACAACCACGTGAACATGAATAATGAAATGAAAATTCATAAAACTACAAACGTATTCCTCTATTACAAAATGAGAAGTACAAAGTTCCATTCAATTACATAGTAACATCGATTATCATACACAGTATCAAATCTCAGTCTATAACTATACCACCTTGACCTTTTCCTTTTCCCCCTTGGTGGCCTTCTTGATTTTACGGTGTTTATAGAGCAATGTGGCTATATCCAGCCTAGCTCTGGTAGCATCAAAATCCTTTAGGGCTATATCCCACCTCGAATCACATCTCTTTCTTATTCGATTGCTTGACCTCCCATATTATAAAATAATATATTACTTGAAGTTTAACAACTATCTCATGACAATCCAAATAATAGGATAAGCATGTATCAACTAGGATATGTGTTTTATTCGTCGTTGAACTTTGATATAAAATTTGACGGCACATTTTTTGTTGCATTTGTAGTAATTTTATCGGGAAACAATAAAGCTTCCAGTATAATATACTCATATTCCTGCAATAGATGACAAAAATAACAAACATACATCAACATATAATACTTGTAGATACATTTGATGACAAACATACATCAACAAAGAGGCTCTACATTCTTTATGAGCATGTTTGGTTAAACTTAAAATCCAATTAAAATTGAAAATATAACCGTTATTGGGTCCCACTCGTCTAACAAAAGTCAACAATAACGACTGATTTTTTAATTTCAATCTCTATTGAATACGCCCATATATTTCGTATTTCATGTTTCATATGCAATTTATAATTTTACTATTTCTAGTTTTTTGCCCCTTTTCTAGTTTTTTCTTGTCATTTGCATGCATTTCTTTGTTGAATTTTGCTACATTGCCGTAAGCTTTTGCCAGGAGGGGTCATAGAAGCACAGATGGAGGAACTGCATTGACTGCAAGAAAACTGTTATTTTTTCAAAGGCCAATCAATGCTTGACACCTATGTATATGTCATGCTTTCTGTCAATCCTTTCCGACAATGTAGCAAAACTCTTCTTTGCTTCATGTTTCACAAATTTTGAGAGCTTAAACCTAGATTCTTACAGGTTAGTGACAAAGGAATGTTTAGTTTTTTCATAACTAGGGAGGATCTACTCCCTATGTGTGATTTGTCTTCCACGTTATATAAGACTTATTTGGTCCTCATTATAATGAGAATTTGGGAAAAAAAATACTTTAGGCCCTGTTTGACAAGGTAGATTTTTTTGGGAAAGAGGAAAATGTATTCCATTTCTAGGCAATTATCCTTGTTTGATGGCAAAAAGTAGGTTGGAATTCTTTTTCTTTGGCCTGACTTCACGCGCCTGAATTCCATTAAATTGAGGAGAATGATTTCCCACCATTTTGGTGGGAAATTCATTTTCCAGGTTCTGG